TACCAATATTCATATATATACGTTTATTTTCAGCACCGCGCGATGCGCACTTCTTTCTGCCAATTGTTTCACAGAAGCCATGATGTTTTTCTCCAGGAGACACAATGGATGGACAAATCTGTAAATACTTTATATGTCTATAGGGGGCGCCACTCTTAATCCCACTTGCGGATATAAATAATGTGCACTTTTGGCTCTAACTATTTATTGACAATTGTTTTACAGCAGCCCTGAAGTGAGAGTGCATTCCATGGGACCAATAGAATAGAAGGCATTGCGGTTGGATGTGTCGATCAATAAAATGAATATTCAAAGTGAACGCCCACTTAGGGTATGAGTGCCCTCCGTATATCGGATACCCAAACATGTGTGAAAGAACAAAAACCCATCTGATTGGTTGGTTGAAATGAACGCAGGTTCACGCCATACATTAATTTCACAAACAATCTACATTACATACATTCTCTATGGGGATGAATAACTAAAAACTGGAGAGAGCAAAATCTGGTGCGGCTGAGCACGGCGGCCAATGAGCTTCTAGCTTCAGCTTCTTCAATGAAGCTTTGACAATAAAACCTGGATGCTGATTGGCTCCCATGCAGAGGGTGTGTGACTTCATGCACTGATGTCACACCTGGACTTCCAAAAAGTAGTGCGTGGTCAAAATCGGTGCGACTCCGATATGATCGCTTCCAATGTGAACAATCGGGCGTGACTTGTCATCCAATATAATTGGATGAAACGTCCCACCGTGTGACCAGGGACTGAAAGGGAAAATTGAAAAAAAAAAATTGTAAAAAAATTCAAAGAACGCTTGTTTAGATCATTATATACCATATAATGTATACAAAGTAACAGATTTTCATTTTGATGTATTTATATGTATATTGGTCAATGTAATTGTATCAAATTAGATTCCTTAAAGGGAAAATTGAAAAAAAATTAACTAATCGCTTCGTTAGAATTTCATGTACAATATAATGTATACAAAGTAACAGATTTTCATTTGAATATAAATGTATCAATGTGGATCAAAGGGAAAATCAAAAAACAAACAAAAAAAACAATGCTATCCAAAGGGGCACATTTACTAAAAACTGGTGAACTTAGAATCTGGGAAAGCGATGCATGCTAAGCCAATCAGCTTCTAACTTCAGCTTGTTCAGGTAAAGTGTTTACTAGACCCGGACCCCGCATTCCCTATATCCGCTCTCCCCGACCCCGCATTCCCTATATCCGCTCTCCCCGACCCCGCATTCACTATATCCGCTCTCCCCGGACCCCGCATTCCCTATATCCGCTCTCCCCGGACCCCGCATTCCCTATATCCGCTCTCCCCGGACCCCGCATTCCCTATATCCGCTCTCCCCAGGACCCCGCATTCACATATATCCGCTCTCCCGGACCCCGCATTCCTATATTCCGCTCTCCCCGGACCCCGCATTCACTATATCCGCTCCCCGGACCCCGCATTCCTATATCCGCTCTCCCCGGACCCCGCCCATTCATATATCCGCTCTCCCCGGACCCCGCATTCATATATCCGCTCTCCCCGGACCCCGCATTCTCGATATATCCGCTCTCCCCGGACCCCGCATTCACTATATCCGCTCTCCCCGGACCCCGCATTCACTATATCCCTCTCCCCGGACCCCGCATTCCCTATATCCGCTCTCCCCAGACCCCGCATTCACTATATCCGCTCTCCCCGGACCCCGCATTCCCTATATCCGCTCTCCCCGGACCCCGCATTCACTATATCCGCTCTCCCCGGACCCCCGCATTCACTATATCCGCTCTCCCCGGACCCCGCATTCACTATATCCGCTCTCCCCGGACCCCGCATTCATATATCCGCTCTCCCCGGACCCCGCATTCATATATCCGCTCTCCCCGGACCCCGCATTCACTATATCCGCTCTCCCCGGACCCCGCATTCATATATCCGCTCTCCCGGACCCCGCATTCACTATATCCGCCTCTCCCCGGACCCCGCATTCACTATATCCGCTCTCCCCGGACCCCGCATTCACTATATCCGCTCTCCCCGGACCCCGCATTCACTATATCCGCTCTCCCCCCGGACCCCGCATTCACTATATCCGCTCTCCCACGGACCCCGCATTCACTATATCCGCTCTCCCCGGACCCCGCATTCATATATCCGCTCTCCCCGGACCCCGCATTCACTATATCCCTCTCCCCGGACCCCGCATTCACTATATCCGCTCTCCCCCGGACCCCGCATTCACTATATCCGCTCTCCCCGACCCCGCATTCACTATATCCGCTCTCCCCGGACCCCGCATTCACTATATCCGCTCTCCCCGGACCCCGCATTCACTATATCTTCTCTCCCCGGACCCGCATTCACTCTCTCCCCGGACCCCGCATTCACTATATCCGCTCTCCCCGGACCCCGCATTCACTATATCCGCTCTCCCGGGACCCCGCATTCACTATATCCGCTCTCCCCGGACCCCGCATTCACTATATCCGCTCTCCCCGGACCCCGCATCACTATATCCGCTCTACCCGGACCCCGCATTCACTATATCAGCTCTCCCCGGACCCCGCATTCACTATATCTGCTCTACCCGGACCCCGCATTCACTATATCCGCTCTCCCCGGACCCCGCATTCACTTGTATTGATCTGTATTGTCTGAGTAAACTGTTAGCGTAGAATAATAATTAGACATGCAAAACAAAAAAAATTGTTTAGTTTTGTTTCATTTTGACATCTAACAAATTTCATGTAGTTGAATTCGGTAAATTTGTTTCGGTAATTCGTATTCAAATTCAATTTGAAAACATTTAGACCAGATTCGAAAAGTCGTTTGCGTTTGAAGTTGGTTTTAAACAAAATTCATAAAAATTCATCGAAAAGATTTAAGCCGAATTTGAAAAAGAACGGCGAGTGGGGAACCAGTCCTTAAAGTTAATTACTTAAAGAACCACCCCCCGTACGTTGTTTGTTGTTGTTGTACTGGGCCATGTATTGTCCCCCCCCCTATTGTACAGCGCTGAGCAAACCCTTTGGCGCTATATAAACTCGAAGTAATAATAATAATAATAATAAAGTGGAAATTCCCCTTTAAATTTGTTTTCAAATCTTCGTTCAATTTTGCGTTCGCTGTGATTTTCAAACTGGAAGTTGTTTTTTCAAATCGAATTTCGGCAGGATTTTGTTTCCTTATTTCGGATTAGTTTAAATTTTTTATTTTTGTAATTCGTTTATTGATTTCAGGTACTTATATAGTGTTGTCAATTTACACAGCGCTTTACATATATACAGTGCAGGAAATGTGTATTTGCCCCCCTGCTGATGCTGAAAGTTCGCCCCTCACACAGAAATGATCGATCAATGGAATGTCCCCCCCCCTCACAATGGATCGGTCTAACAATGGAATGTTCCCCCCCTCACACAGAAATGATCGGTCTAACAATGGAATGTTCGCCCCTCACACAGAAATGATCGGTCTAACAATGGAATGTTCGCTGAAATGATCGGTCTAACAATGAGAGACAGAATACAGAATACAACAACAAATTCAGCAGAAATACGTCTAACAAATGATGACGGATCTGCATGTTCATGAGGGAAAGAAGGATTTGATCCCCTATCATTCAGCAGGATTTCTGGCTCCCAGGTGTCTTTCATACAGGTAACAAGCTGAGATTAGAAGCAGTCTCTTAAAGGGAGTGCTGCTAATCTCATTGTGTTACCTGTATAAAAGACACCTGTCCGCAGGAGCATCAAACCATCAGATTCCAAACTCTCCAGCATGGCAAAGACCAAAGAGCTGTCCAAGGATGTCAGGGACAAGATGGTAGACCTACACAAGGCTGGACTGGGCTACCAAACTATGGCCAAGCAGCTTGGTGAGAAGGTGACAACAGTTGGTGCAATCATTCACAAATGGAAGAAACACAAAACAAGTGTCAGTCTCCCTAGGTCTGGTGCACCATGCAAGATCTCACCTCGTGGAGTGTCAATGATCATGAGAACAGTGAGGAATCATCCCAGAACTACACGTGAGGATCTTGTCAATGATCTCCAGGCAGCTGGGACCACAGTCACCAAGAAAACAATTGGTAACACACTACGCCGACAAGGACTGAAATCCTGCAGTGCCCGCAAGGTCCCTCTGCTCAAGAAAGCCCATGTCCAGGCCCGTCTGAAGTCTGCCACTGAACATCTGAATGATGCAGAGGAGGACTGGTGGAAGGTGTTGTGGTCAGATGAGACCAAAATCCAGCTCTTTGGCATCAACTCAACTCGCCGTGTTTGGAGGAGGAGGAAAGCTGCCTATGACCCCTAGAACACCATCCCAACTGTGAAACATGGTGGTGGAAACATTCTGCTTTGGGGGTGTACTTCTGCCAAGGGGACAGGACAACTGCACTGCATCAAAGGGACGATGGACGGGGCAATGTACCCTCAAATCTTGGGTGAGAACCTTCTTCCCTCAGCCAGGGCATTGAAAATGGGTGGGGGATGGGTGTTCCAGCATGACAATGACCCAAAACACACGGCCAAGGCAACAAAGGAGCGGCTCAGAAGAAGCACATTAAGGTCCTGGAGTGGCCTAGCCAGTCTCCAGACCTTCATCCGATTGAAAATCTGCGGAGGAGCTGAAAGTTCGAGTTGTCAAACGTCAGCCACCAAACCTTTTACATTACATTACATTACATCGAGTTTATATAGCGCCAAAGGGTTTGCTCAGCGCTGTACAATAGAGGGGGGGGGGGACAATACATGAAACATTACAGCAACTACAAACAGCACACGAGGGGTAAGAGGGCCCTACTCTTTCGAGCTTACAATCTAGGAGGGAGGGGGTAGTGGTACAGGAGGAAGTGGCTGTGGGGGATGGAGTGGTAGGAGGAATGAAGGAGAGCAGCAGTTAGGTGAGGGTGGGGTAGGCTTCCCTGAAGAGATGGGTTTTCAGGGAGCGCCTGAAGGTGAGGAGGGAAGGTGACAGTCTGATGGATTGGGGTAGTGAGTTCCAGAGGATGGGGGAGGACCTGGAAAAGTCTTGCAGACGTGCGTGTGAGGAGGAGACCAGGGAGCAAGATAGAAGGAGGTCCTGTGAAGAGCGAAGGGTACGGGTAGGGTGGTACTTGGGAATCAGGTCGGTGAGGTAGTCAGGGGCAGTCTTGTGAATGGCCTTATAGGTCAGGGTGAGCAATTTGAATTTGATGCGTTGGGCAACCGGGAGCCAGTGGAGGGGAGGCAGAGGGGGGTGGCAGAGGTGGAGCGGCTGGTGAGGTGGATGAGTCTGGCCGCTGAGTTCAGGATGGTCTGAAGCGGGGAGAGCCTGCACTGGGGTAGGCCGGTGAGGAGGGAGTTGCAGTAGTCCAGGCGTGAGATAATCAGGGAGTGTACTAGTAGTTTAGTGGTGTCTGGGGTAAGGAAGGAGCGTATTTTGGCGATATTGCGGAGGTGGAGTCTGCATGAGTTTGTGAGAGATTTGACATGAGGTTGGAAGGAGAGGTTTGAGTCCAGAATGACGCCAAGGACTTTGGCTTGCGGGGCGGGATTGATGGTGGTGATGTTAGTAGTGATGGATAGGATGGGGGGGGGGCGGGCAGAAGGGAAGACGAGAAGCTCGGTTTTGGAGAGGTTGAGTTTGAGGAAATGGAGCGACATCCAGTCAGAGATGTCGTTTAGGAGGTGAGTGATGCGGGCGGAGAAAGTGGAGGTGAGGGGTGGAGAGGTAAATTTGAGTGTCATCAGCATAGAGATGGTAGTTGAAGCACCTTAATGACTTGGAGAGGATCTGCCAAGAGGAGTGGGTCAAAATCCCTCCTAAGATGTGTGCGAACCTGGGGGCCAACTCCAGGAAATGTCTGACCTCTGTGATTGCCAACAGGGATTGGCCACCAAGTACTAAGTCATGTTTTGTGAAGGGGATCAAATCCTTCTTTCCCTCATGAACATGCAGATCCGTCATCATTTGTTAGACGCATTTCTGCTGAATTTGTTGTTGTATTCTGTCTCTCAGTGTTACAGTGTGTTACATCCTGAGCATTCCATTGTTAGACCGATCATTTCTGTGTGAGGGGCGAACATTCCATTGTTAGACCGATCATTTCTGTGTGAGGGGCGAACATTCCATTGTTAGACCGATCATTTCTGTGTGAGGGGCGAACATTCCATTGTTAGACCGATCATTTCTGTGTGAGGGGCGAACATTCCATTGTTAGACCGATCATTTCTGTGTGAGGGGCGAACATTCCATTGTTAGACCGATCATTTCTGTGTTAGTTAGACCGATCATTTCTGTGTGAGGGGCGAACATTCAGCATCATCAGGGGAGCAAATACACATTTCCAGCACTGTAGCGCTGTCAATGTACGCAGCACTTTACATATATATTGTACATTCCCATCAGTCCCCGCCCCCGAAGAGCGTACAATCTAAGGTCCCTAACTCACATTCATACAATTTAGACAGGAGCCAATTATCCTCCCATCATGTCCTTAGAGTGTGGGAGGAAACTGGAGTACCCACAGAGGAAACCCACACAGGCACAGAGATAACATGCAAACTCCAGGTAGGTGGTGCTGTGGTTGGGATTCAAACCAACGGCCCCATACTAGGGCCAATTTAAACCGGAGCCAATTCACCTACCAGCATGTCTTTGGAGTGTGGGAGGAAACCAGAGTTCCTGGAGGAAACCCATGCAAGCACAGGGAGAACATGCAAACTCCAGGCAGGTGGTGCCAAAGTTGGGATTTAAACTGACAGCCCCATGCAGGCACAGGGAGAACATACAAACTCCAGGCAGGTAGTGCCGTGGTTGGGATTCAAACCAACAGCCGCATACTAGGGCCAATTTAGACAGGAGCCAATTAACTTACGGCATGTCTTTGGATTTTGGGAGGAAACTGGAGTACCCCGAGGAAAATCACACAGGTACAGGGAGAACAAGGAAAATCCAGGCAGGTGGTGCCGTGGTTGGGATTTAAACTGACAGCCCCATGCAGGCACAGGGAGGACATACAAACTCCAGGCAGGTGATGCCATGGTTGGGATTCAAACCAATAGCCATATACTAGGGCCAAATTATACAGAAGCCAATTCACCTTCAGTATGTCTTTGGAGTGTGGGAGGAAACTGGAGTACCCGGAGGAAACCCACACAGGCACAGGGAGAACATGCAAATTCCAGGCAGGTGGTGCCATGGTTGGGTTTCAAACCAACAGCCCCATACTACGGCCAATTTAAACCTGAGCCAATTAACTTACGGCATGTCTCTGGATGTTGGGAGGAAACTGGAGTACCCTGAGGAAACCCAGGCAGGCACAGGGAGAACATGCAAACTCCAGGCAGGTGGTGCCATGGTTGGGATTTGAACTGACAGCCCCATGCAGGCACAGGGAGAACATGCAAACTCCAGGCAGGTGATGCCATGGTTGGGATTCAAACCAACGACCCCATATTAAGGCCAATTTAGACAGGAGCCAATTAACCTACCAGCATGTCTTTGGA